CCACTTCATAATACCAGAAACTGATAGTAGATTGGGTCTTAAGAGAACAAGTATAATTTTTATTCCTCCTGTTTTCCAAATACAATGTATGCTACATTATGTGTTTCCAAAAAACAGGTACAATTTCCCCCTGAAATCCTGATATTCTCTGCTACTGGAGGGGAGTTGAGAATCACAATCTTAGGTCATTTCCCTCTGGGAACAATTATCAGGTTGGATGGGGTGTAAACCTATCTATGAGCATTTAACGCAGCCTCAGTGAATGAAATCTCTGTCTAGCTTGCCTTGTACTGCATTCTCTGTTCACAATTCCTTTTCTATTCAAGGATTCATATGAAGATGTGTGTCTAATATGCCAAATACTTGCTGAAAAGAGGAGCAAAACCAAGAAACGAACCTACTATTCATGTTCTATATTACTCATAAACTGGTACTCTCACTCCATTTGTCCAAAGAGCAGAACTGGAAATGCACGCGGAACTCAGAATAGATTTAAGGTGTGTGCCATGTCCGTGTGTGCACATGCGCACTATACCTTATCGACCAAGTCTTTCTCTGGCACTTCGATGGTATCCTGCTGGGCCCCGTAGCGATTCCTCTGATACATAACCTGTTCCGACACGAGCTGTTTCAAGATGAACAGCAAGAGCTCATTGTTATCTCGCCTGAAGGCAAGATACCGGGCAAAGGTCTGTGGCAGGAGGGAAGAGCAAAAGAAAAAGCAAAGTTGACAGAGACCAAACAAGTTAGCAACACCATCAACACTTTGAAAGGATAGGGTGGGAAAGCTGTGGCATATTCTGGTGTCCCCACAGCCAACAAAACAAGCAACGGCTCTGTGGTGGGTTGAGGGATGACTTCCAGGCTCCTACTGAAGCTTCAAAAGAGGCCTGCCTGACACACCCTCCTGAGTTCCTTATCAGCTTCCCATGGAAGGAAACTTTCGAGGAATCTGGATAGTAAGCTGTTAAAGAGAGAATGGAGAAAAGTTCCCATTCTGGCTATTCCAGTGTTTAATAAATAAATGGTCTTTAGAAGCTAGCTATAATGGGAACTTCTCTTCCATTCTTTCCTGAACAACTTGATTAATTAAAGCATTTTCTCTGAGTCATGGCCGTCTTTTACTACACTGCTTAGGGCCATCGTCTTCGCAAGATGAACCTTGCCATCTACTCAGATGTATTGTGGGGGCCCTGCTGTAGGTTCCATCTACACATAGAAGCAGGATTAGGCGACGTGAGCAGCAGGGCCTTTCCAGCTACAGACCCACAACTCTGGAGCTCCTTTCCAAGAAAGATTGGCCCCACAATCAAATAACCTTGACACGTTTAAGGAGGCAGCTAAGCTTTTGTTTGAAGAAAAGTCAACGCTTAGAGAAATAAAATGCTGAACTCATTTACTGCATTTTAAATTCCTACTTTTCCTTCAGTTAAAACATGGCGCGCGTGAGACTCCCTCACATTTATTCTCATAACAAGAGGGCAAGATACCGGCAAGAAATTGAAGCCCACAACTAGCTTCAATTTCAACTCAATCCCACCCCTGCACTTCCAACCCCAAAAGCTACTAAATCAATCAGAAATGCTCTAGATCCGTGGTCCCCAACCCTTGGTCTGCAGCCCAGTACCAGGCCGTGGCCTTGGCAGGACTGGGCCATGGAGTCTGATCTCCCGTCCCCCATGCCCCCCTCTACACACCCATGTACTGCCCCCCCACATGCATGCATGGGTGCCTCGCCCTCCCAACCGACTGGTCTGCGGTTTGGAAAAGGTTGGGGACCAGTGCTCTAGATTCCAGTCATTCATCCACTCCACTCACTGTTGGGCAAATTCTCCTGCATTCACTACTGTGACGTGACACTCGACTGCGGAACACCTTGGCTGCCCCACTCCGTGGTGCAAACAGGAGGGTAAAAAGTCCTCGGTGGAGGCCCTGTTGCATGTCCTGCTTTGTCCCTCATGGGGTTTCAGTGGGTTGCCAAGATTGCACGGCCATAGGCATGTGTAAAAATGGCTTTGAAGTAGGTTTTTGGAATCATTTTCAATCTATTCTTAAAGGCTGGCTTTTCAAAAATGGTATTTTAAGAATCTTCGGTTTTAAATTATCTTTTATTCTGCTCTGTCAAAGAAGAGCAATAAAGAAATACTTTTATTGAATACATAAAATATTCTACAGAAACATTGGCTTCTTGCTTTAATCTGTAAATCTTTAATCTTCACATCCTTTATCACTTGTCTTAAAAGGTGAATAACACACTGAAAAATTGACTGAAAAATCAAGGACTTCCACAAAAAAACAAAAAACCCTGGGAGAAGTGCAGATTATTTACACATATCAACTCAATTGTTCCTAGTCTCTAGACTGACTAGCAGTTTCATGCATGCACACACATGAACATGGAAAAATAAGTAGAGACCAGTGAGAAATTTCATGTTGGCAATGAATGACTTCATTTCAGATTTTAGTCTGGATTTTACAGGAGCTGCCACAGAAAAAAGAAACAGACACCAGCTTGCCCCGCCCATGCAAACAAACCCCGACATACCTTCCGCATGCTCCTCATAACACTAAACTTCTGGGTGTCAATGAAACTTTCGAGCATGACCCGGATGGCCATGTTGACATCGTCCTCCACCACATAATCCCGCAGATGCATGCGCGCATGGGCCTCAGCCATTCGGATCACGGATTCAATGTGACGCACGGTGATAGGGATACTTCCAGTAGCCTGCAACGGGGAGGGGGGGACACAGTGGCCCAAATGCAAAGTGGTATCAGTTAACAATTTCGGAAACTGTACAAAATAATTAAAACCAAACCAACAAACAATAAACTAATAACCCAGGAACAGGAGACGATAAACAGAAAGGTAACTGATAATGAAGCTTAAGTGTTCAAAATGTGGCAATAACTAAGGGGTTACTCTGCCACCTGCTGGCAGACAAAGTGCAATGCACAGAAAACAAATAACATTCATTTAGTCTATTGATTTACTGAATGAACTCTTTTAAGAAACATAACCGACTCCAGATTGGATGAGTAGGGAATCAGTGTAATCTTCCAACTTGTTCAGTGGAAGAGCTAGCAGGTCAACACCTGGCAGACAGATAAGATGCAGTTCCTGGTGTTTTTAGATAACAGGATACGGAAGCACCCCTTCTCCCTCTGTTTATACCTTATGTCTCCCTGTAGCGCCTTACCATGGATTCCTTCCTAAGTTCACTATACATTCTGGCCACTTTGTCTTGGTCCATCTGGTTGAGTTTGGGGTGGACTTTTTCTTTTGCATAGATAATGTATTTCTTCAGGATCTCTTGGGGGATCGCGTCCACACCATAAGTATTAGGGAGAATAATTTCCTGAGAGTCTCCGTTCACAACATCCTTGTTGTTTGGGTGATGCTTGATGTGGCTACTCACAACAAACCGAGCCAGCATTTCATCCTATACCAAGTTGTTGGAGAGAGAATACATGCTGAACCTGTGTCACTTATCAAGTGATGATAACCACAATAAACTGATGAATGAGGAAAGGAAAACTGCTGCCGCAATTTAAGGAAAAACAAACAGCTAGACAAATATCAAGATTTGCTTCTATGTATTTATTGCCTAGTTACATTATGTCTTGGTTTTGACCCTCAGCTTGCTATATTTTTGTTTTCAACTGCTAGGAGGCTTGAAAACTGTTTTTTTTAATTGTTCTAAAGTATTTGAACTGTTTTAGACTCTTATAGATTTTTTCTTATTGCACCCTTCTGAGAACTGCTCATATAGAACAGACTACAAATATTTTAACAAATAAATGAACAAATCAGTAGTTCAGTGGTTCCCAACCTTGGGTCCTCAGAAGTTCTTGGACTGCAACTCCCAGAAGCGTTAACCACTAGCTGCGCTTGGCAAGGGCTTCTGGGAGGTGAAATCCTAGGGGACCCAAGGTTGGGAACCACTGCAGTCGTGGATCTCCAGCAGAATAGACTGCATAGCTCCAAGCTGGCACGAATGTATATACCCAAGATGCTGGCTCCCTCAGCTGGCTCCCTCCTATCTTCAAGTACCATCACTGCAAGATGGTGGCCCCTTTGTGAACCTGTTACCCCCAAGCCTTGTTCAAGTAAGAAATAATTTGCAAAAGCTCCTCCTACCTGAACAGGATCCACTGTGTCCCTAACCACACACAGAACATCGAATCGAGAGATGATGGGCTCAGTGAGATCCACGTTTTCTGAGAAGGTCAGGGAGGGATCGTAACGCCCACCTAAAATGAGCAAAGAAACCAGTTTAGAAGTTGCTACTTTCTGAAGTACCCAATGCTTTCCCTCTCTTCCCTGGCACTGGCTGATTTTACTTTTATAGGAAAAGCTTTTCTCTCCTCCCACCCACACTTCTCAGATATGCTGATAGGTAGCGGAACCTTGCAAAGGCCCAAAATCCGTAAAGCAAGAGCACATAGCCCTTTCTGCAGCCCTCAAAATGGTGAAGCGTACTCCTTCTGTGATCCATCAGGACATACCGATGGGGTTGGCAGCAGCTATAACAGTGCAGCGTGCCTGCAGAGAGGTGACGATGCCAGCCTTTGAGATGGAGATACTCTGCTGCTCCATGGCTTCATGGATGCTGGTCCGGTCCTGATCAGTCATCTGCCAAATCACAAAGACATTCCAGCTTTGGTGAGGCCAGGCACGCCCTTCAAAATGGTATGGCACAATCCACGTGGGTGAACTTCAAGCCAAATTAGACTGTTACTATCTCCTCAGTGGACATTCCCAGCTATCCTGGAGCATATGCACCTAGCCATACATTTTGCTGACAGATTATGAAAAGCAGGAAAAATAAATAATAGGGACACAATCTCAAGGCACGACAGTAGTCAGACTCTCAGGCCTTCCAGTGGAGTTCTGTTTATTACTCTAGACTCCTGGCACCTCTCCAGGATTCCAAGCACGTATTTCCCATCGCTAGCTGCTTAGAGAAGCCAGGGACTGAGGCTGGAATCTTCTCTATGCAAAGCATGCATTCTAGCACTCACTTACCAGCCTTCCCCACCCCTCAGACTTAGATTTCACTAGATACTACAACAGGGAAGGGGAAACTTCCACCTAATGGACCCCCCCCCCCCAAATCTAGCCTGTGGTGGGGTATTTTTTTGTTGCTCCCCTCCCCCAAGCTGAAGCCCACTCCTTCTGAAGGAAGATGGGCAAGAGAAAGATAAACTAAAATGGCTGACTAGGGTAGAGAACAAAAATGGAAGCCAGTTTTGCTCCCCAACCCTTGCCTGCCTCAGGATGGGACTTTGTTGATTCTCAGAGTAACATCAGAGCACAGCTAGCTTTGGTCCTTGGTTGCCTTTCCTGCACAGAGAAGGTCAGAGGGGAATCCAGGCAGCTTCTCCACCAAAGCACTAGCAAGTAAAGGTCCAGCCGACTCTTTGGGTGGCCATGGAATGGGGCGCGGAAACCTCTAAAAGTCACCTGAGACATGGTGGGGGAGGGGAGGGGCAGGGTACCCACTTCTAGTTTCCCATAAGAATGACTAACTTAGTGAAACACAGCACCCGTGATCCGCCAATGCTCACCTTATCAAACTCATCGATCAAGCAGACCCCACGGTCAGCCAGCACCAGGGCTCCCGCCTCCAGGGTCCATTCCTTGCTCACTGGGTGCCTCTGCACATAGGCGGTCAGACCAACTGCAGAGGCCCCTTGGCCGGTGGTGAAGATGGCTCTGCTGGACACTTTCTCCACATACTTGAGGAACTGAGATTTCGCGGTTCCAGGGTCTCCACAAAGCAAAACATTGATGTCACCACGGACCTTGTGTTTTCCTCCTAAGGTGAGTAGACATTAAAGAAAGAGAGAGAAAGACCAGTGTAGGGTGCTATTTAGTATATTAAAGATTCAATTTGGAGATACTGGGTTTCAAACGCTCCCTTCATCCATGAAACGTACAGAGTAACCTGGTTTCTTCAACCTAACTGTTAAGGAGGTTGACACCTCAGTTGTCTTCAGTGGGCTGTCTGCGTTGCCCTCATGCTCCCCACAGGACTACCGTGAGATACCAGTGATGGGGCAGCCGAAGGACCCAGACATGACATTCGCATGGGGTCAAGAAGAAAGAACCCAGGCTATAGGGAGATGACAGAGGTGGAGTTGGGTGGTGGGAGTCGGGGATAAAAGAAGAGGTGATGGTGGACTCCTTAGTGCCAGGGCCAGGAGGGTGGTCAGATGCATGGAAGGGCAGCCTTGGGTCTTCTGTGCCCAGAGGGAGAACTGGCCCCTACATACATTTTCCTGCTCCAAGAGTGGATAGGTTTTGCCTCAGAGAGAGCTCGTGATGAAGGAGAACTCGCTCACTTGGGCCATCACAATGGAGACTGGACTGTCCTGCAAAGCCTTGCCCAGGAAAACTGCCATCGACCAGAAGAGACGCTGGAGGCACCGACAGCTACACCAGCGCTTTGTTCAGCTGGCCCAGGATCAAGGGGATCAGCTCTGTCAGGAAGACCCCCACTGGCCAGGCACTCCCAGCCCTCGGTAAAAGGCATCAGGTTGCAGGGGCTAGTGCCAAAAACTTCGTTCCAGCGACAGACACTGGACATTGGGGGCTGGGAGTGGGGTGGGGCAGCCAGTGCAAGGAACTAAGCCCATGTGGGAGCAGGCAAAAAGGAGGACCAAGACTTTCAGACTGTAAATGGACACACACATACCAAATCTAGCCTGTGGTGGTTTCCTTGGTTGCCCCCTTCCTCTAAGCCCAAGCCCACTCCTTCTGAAGGGAGACGGGCAGGAGAAAGCCTGCTCTAATAAAGGCTGGCTGGACCGCTAACTGAGCCTGTGGAATCTATAGAGCTGATGGCAGAGAAGACCCTTCCCACCCATCTAATTTTTTGGCTGGGGCGGCAGACTAGCCCGCCTCACAGGGCTGCTGTGAAGACGGAAGGTTGGTGTGGGACAATCCTGAGCTCTCTAGAGGAAGGGCAGGGTTAAAGTGGGATCAATAAAACAAAGCTCAGTGCTCTTCTAGGCTGAGATGCGAACCGGTCGCTATAGGGGAACCATTCCTTTTCAAAGACCACTGCTGTAGACAACCCAGCACATCGACGTACCTGGATTTTTGGGTTCACCCCCGAACAGAGCCAGGGCCAAGGCCCTTTTGATGTCTTCATGTCCATAGATTGAAGGAGCGATGCTTGCAAAGATCTAAAGGCAAAATCAACAGTTTTCAGAAACTTATCCTTGATACCGAAGCAGCCGGCAGCACAGGATGTGTACGGCTGAAACAGAACTCTGTGAGGATGGAAAGCTAACCACAGGCCTCTACAGATGGAGCTCCTCTTCCACTGGCCAAGCAACACTGGTTCATGCACAGTGCACAGATGTGTTTATATAGGGTGGCGTATAAAAGACAAAGTACTTTAACCCTTGTAGAAGAACATACTTGAATAAAAGCCAAGTTAAATAATGAAAAGGGGGGAGTTGTAAGAATTAGTTGTCACATTTCATTGTAGTGACCCATTACTGTTCCCTACTTACTTACTTTTTCCCCAATCTGCTCATCCTTGGAGAGGCCCACGATGACCTTCATGTCCTCATCAGTGAGCTCCCCAACAGCCACTTTGTTGTCCTTTTTGGCAATGTGATTAGCCAGGATCACGGTTGCAAACACTGGGAACCCGTTGGCAGTGTTCAGAGAGCCATCGTAATTATTATGGTATATTCCAGTGAGTTCCTGGAAGACACAGAAAAAATGCTTTATTTAGCAGCCTGTGCTAAAATTCAGTGCTATTCAGGGAACCACAGAGGAAAATCAATGCTGTGCAGTTTCTAGCTTTACAAAATTCAGGCGGACCACATTACTGAAATAATTCTGTTGCCTGCATTGCTGCCTTCACTCCCAATGAGCCCACTTTATGGCTGAGTTGGCATCTGATACCCCCAAGATTGGTGGGGGGTATAAGTAAAAAAATAAATATTAAAGTAACTAAAGCAAAGGTAGGCAATTCCCAGAGGTCCCATATGAACATCCCTGGACTTTGGAGTGACCCCATGTCCCAAACCATTTTTCTTAAAATGTTTTCACTGAAAATATCCTCTTCTACCGTCCAGTAGCCGCCAGGGATGGGAGTTTCCATAGCTGAATGGGGAATTTGAACCCAGGTTTCTGACCCCTGAACCTACTCTTTCCACTGCTTCTCACCCTATTTTGTACATTACATCACGATGACTCTCTAGACCAGTTTGAGGACATTCAAAATATGTTGCACCCCATCCCTTGTGTATTGCTATTCTAATAACTTTCAGAAAGCTGTGCCGTGTATTCTTCTTTTGCAGCAATCGTGTTCCTTTCAAAACGATAAGCACCTAATGTTAAAAGTCTGCGAATAGGACAAACGGTTAAGAAACCGTGAATGCCAGGGTCTTTCCCAGGTTTCTCTTTCCGGCACCGGTACTCACAATCTCATCCCCTGGCTTGCAGCTGTCGACCAAGTCTGCCAGCAAAACGGCATCCTTGGAGCGAGGGAGCCGGCCAGCTGCCACCTTCCCGGGGCTCTCCTGGATTTTGATGCGCTGGTAGTTCTGATAGACCGTCTGTAAGGAAAATCAATAGGCATTACTGGGCAGTCGAAGTCAACATAAATTTGCAGAGGTGTACAAAAAGAACTTGGAAGTCCCAACAATCCAGAATATTCATTGCTGACATAGAAGGATGTATTGCTGCCGCACAGGGGGACACTGGCTCAAAGAAGGCCGAAATCTATCGGCACCAAGGGAAGCTGGGTTTTTTTGTGCTTAGCCTTTACACAGGGAGAAGGTCCAAGCTGCCATTGCTCCCTAAGCCAGCCCACAGTCATTACAAGAGGAACGCAACTCTTAAGCAGCATCCCAGCACCACTTACTTCTTCCATGTTGATTTCAAAAGGCCCCGTGGACTGGCACTCGGGACAGGATCCTGGCTTTACTTCCTGGTTCTGGGATTGCAAGAAAGGCCCCAGGATGAAGTTGCACTTGCCACAGTTGTACTTGACTAAGCTGAGCTGGGGGAGGACTCCCGTGCAGCTTGTCACCACCCCACTGGTCCGGATTAGCTGGTTCAGGTGGAGCTGCCTAAGAGAAAAGGAAAGAATGAGGTTGAAATGGGCAGGGAGCCGTCACCCTTGTGCCGAGAGGGTTTCCAACAGGGCAGGCAAGAAGGCTGTTCGGGAAGGCGCAATACCCAAGGACAGATTCTTTTTCTCTTTTTTTGAGGGGGGGGAAAACTATTTTTGTTTTTCACAGAAACTCTCCAAATGAAGCCAGCTGAAATCCTGAGCATCCTTGCTCTCTGGAAATGGCAAAGGGAAACGTCCCAGTTGCTGCAGGATAACTATATCCCAAACTCTAGGGCAGAGGTGGGCAAAATGTCACCTTTCCCGACTAGACTGCCACTCTCAGTATGTCTCGCCACTGGCTGTTCTGGAAACTGGTTCATGGACGGTCCAACAACATTTAGAGGCACATACTTCCCTAACACAGAGACACACCATTTCAGTAAGCTACCCCTCCTCTCGGGTCACCTTCCTGGTCTAGGTAAACTCTTCTCTACGTTAGAATGTTGTACCACCTGTTACCAAAGGTCAAACTGCAGACAATGTAGCACTAGTTAAAATAAAGATAGAATACTGTAAAAGGATGTAAATTTATTCATACACTATTTTCATCCTGTCCCTTCTATACATTTCCTCCTACCCTCTTAGCGCTGTCTTTTCTTTCTTCCTTTATGGTTTTTGAGCATGTTCACCTACCCAAGCTCATCCTGTGTTACATCTTTTCTGCACTGGCTCTTGTGCTATTAATAGTGCAGGACACACAAGTATTCAACAGGTGCGTCCTCAGGTTGATGAAAGCTTTCTGTATTGAATTTCTGCCATGCAGGTTTTAAAGGCAACCCTTTGCAGCTGCGCAAGACCTACCTATGCAAGATAGTTTAAGAACTACCAGAATACCCTACCAAGAGACTATTTCTAAGCCTAGCCATGAGAACAGCCAAGAGATGCTGTCCATGCAAAACCACAGCATGAAGTGCCTGGTGCCAAAATCAGGCTGAGTTTGTACCTAAGTGAGCGCAACTCCTCCACCAGAGGCAAGTGTGAGATACGGACATGGATTTCTTGAGCAATCCGGTCATATTTCGGGTACATGGCCAATACCACTTCCTTGGCTGCTTCATCAAAGATCTTCAACATTTCTGCTGGGGCTTCTGGGAGAAAATAGGCAAGGACATGTTCCCTGGCAGCCAGGTCTTCATAATTCACCACCAGACTCTCTCTGTTCTCTGACCAAAAAAATAAAATAAAAAAGGATTATTGACACAGTACATTCAGCTTCCTGCTACGTTCTGGAAAAAAGCAAAACTGTCACCTTATACTGCTATCTAGGAGTACACTGAACTCACTTAGATTTACTTCTGATGTATACGGGGTTGCACTATAATTCACAAAGTGACACTAAGCAATGGTACTTGATGTTGTTATGATCTGTCGTCAAGCTGCTTCTGATTTATAGCAACCCTGTAAACACTAACAGAAGTCAATCTAGGGTTGTTTTTCTAAAGCTCAGTTCACATACTAATGCAAGGGTCCCTAACCTTTTGGGGCAATGTGTCATAGTCAAACAAAATGGCTGCTATAATGAGTGTGGCCAGCCACGCAACAAACATTTCCTAGAAGGCAAATTGATGAGGCTGAAAGACAAGTCGCTTGCCTGGCGGATGTTCTCTGAGCTGAACATTTCTATACACAAAGGCACTCTTTGGAATCCAGTTTCACAGAAGACCAACTGAGAAGGCTCAGAGCTAAGTAACTTGGCCAAAAAGAGACACAACTTGGCCAGAAACTAAAAATAAGACAAGGGTGGGATCCAATGCAATGTAGTTCCACTTAGTGCAAGAAAAGCACCCATTTCGCAGCAGGCAAACCAGAGATGTTCAGAGGAACACACACAGATACATCTTCACCTTCCAGTGACTCTCAGTCCCGGGAGCCGAACAAAAATGCATCCGAATCCAGAAAACACCACAGAACACCAACAAACCATGCTCCTTTTCACCCTTTTGCCCCCATGCCTTCACAGCCATACCTTTGCACATGTCACTGATCCTCTCTTTGAAGACATTGTGGCCGTGGTCATCCACATGAGTCTTTAGGAAATTCTTGAACCGGTGGTAGATCTCGAGCCGAGGAGCTGCCATAGACACCCATTCCCTCACCGAATGCCCCTTCATGTCCTCCAGATTCTCAATGCTCTCAATCATGTCCTCGTCCTCATCCTCTATGCCCTCTGCAGCTCGTTCAGCCAGGCGCCTCCTCCGAAAAGGACGGTCCTCTTCTTCATCATCACTTTCTAAAGTTTTTTTTTTAATGCAGCAGTGTCAGCAGAAAAGTAAAAACAGATGCACCAAACAGTTGCTAAAATGTGTAGCTGTTGATCATACCAAGCTAATTCAACTTTTTTAAAAAAAAACATATGGCACAGTACTTTCTAGTGGTTCAAAATACAGAGATATCTGGAGCTTACTCTGATATTCTTTCAGAACCAGACAAAGATATTTTTCATCTTCCAAGCTTCTCAATCCCTTGAATATTGTTTTTTCCTCTTTGGAACTTGTTATGAATACTATTGATGACTTCTATAGTTCATGTTAACATTCTTGTTTTATTATCATTTATGTTTGTGATAATTTCCTGGGAATGTATTATTTATCAAATAAATAATATAAACAGAATGAAATCTGGCTCTCCAGATGTTGTTGGACCGATTTTCCTATGCTAGTACAGTGACAGATGAGGACTGCTGGCAATTACATTCCAACAATATCTGGAAGGCCACATGGTCCTTATCACTAACATTCGGGAAGTGCGGACAACTCTCCAACATGGAACACCCCCAACCTATGAGAGCTGCACCACTGCTGAGATTCAACCGCCACTGCTCAGTAGTAAGATCTGCACCAATACTGAAGCTGCTGTCAAACTTTTTGTGGTTCCAGAACAAGAGAGAGTCATGACAGAGTATCCCCTTTCTTTCTAAAAAGGAAGAAAAGGGTGCCATATTGCTATGCTATTGAACTTTGGCTACAGCGGCATTAAGTGACAGTAGCAGGGAGCTGCATGGATAGTGTGTTGGACAGTGTGTTGCTGACCACACTGACTCGCACCCACAGGATTCTTTGACTATAATAATCTTAGAACTACACAGCTGGAAAGGACACTATAGATCAGCATTCCCCAACCTTTTCCGGTCCGTGGACCGGCTGGGGAAGGCGGGGCACCCCCGCACTCGAGCATGTGTTAACAAGTGCTTGCACATGCAGTGTGCCACCATTTGCACATGCGTGGACACAACACATGCTCATGCGGGGCTGTGCACATGTGCAAATGGCAGCGCAGCGCTCATGCGGGCATGCCAGAACATAAATTAGAGTCACCTGTAAATGATCTAAATTTATGAAAGTACCTATAGGTAATATATATAATTAGTCGAAGGCAAACAGCTGGTCTTTGAGAGCCAGATTGTACAGAGACAACTGTCAATAAGAAGCAAGGTTTGAAAACACACCATAAAGCAGACCACTGCGCATGCGGCCAAGGCCACGCTCCATCTCACGGTCCCTTTGCCTCATTTCCCGCTCTGCAGCTTCCCTCTGGCTGGCAGTTATCTCCTCCTGATCATCATCTGTGGCCAAACCTTCAGCTTCGTAGAAATCCAGCTCTGGAATATGACGGTAGTCCCTAAACATCCCACAGAAAGCTTAGAATGTTTACTTTAAAACAGAATGTGTTAAATATTAGTCATTAATTGTTATTACTGATGTAATACAACTCGTTACTCTTTTGTTTTTTACATATGCACAAGAATTGCCCAGTTCCCCCAAAAGTAATGTTTCTGCAATAATGAGAAAGCTCTTTTAAGTTTACCAGCAACTGATTTGAAAAGACATACTGTCTTTGATACTAGAGATGGCACATAGCTTTTTGACTATTTGCCATTTATGACATTCATAAACTACTGCACAAGGGAATAATACCAGCTGAGTTTGACAACTACTGGTCATCTTTCAGCAATTAATCTACAGTATAAGGATCTAGACACAGCTGTGTGTCTCCCACCTTTCCATGCCGTCTCCAATAAGCTCTTCCCCATCTTCCTCTTCCTCGTTAGGGACCCCTTCAGTTCCCAGGAGTCCTTCAGATTCATCCTCAAATGGAGGCAGATCTCTCCCTGGGCTGGAAGTGAAGGCATCTCTGCGCCGTGAGCTGCGCTGAGGGCTAGTGGCCATGTTTGACTCTGAGGAATCCTAAAGAAACACAGGGAATGACATTAAAAAGTTAACATAGCATGCATTGAGACAATTTACTTTTCTTTTTGGTGGAAATACGGAAAGGGCAACTTTCAAGCCTGCTAACATCATAGTTCTAGACCTTGGGTCCCCAGATGTTCCTGGACTACAACTTCCAGAGGCCTTCACCACTAACTGGGAGTTAGGATTTCTGGGAATTGTAGTCCAAGGACATCTGGATATCCGAGATTGAGACCTGCTGTTGTGGACTCAGGTATCTAGGTGTTTTGAACTTCAATCTCAAAATGTTTGACCAATGGCTATGACAGCTGGGACTCTCGGGAGATAAAACACAAGGCATTTGGACAGGCAAAGTCTGAGAAACACTGAACTAAATGCATACAAGAAGTTCTGAAAGCTGCTGGAGAGACCAAAGCAAGGTAGTGGAGGCTGGGGATTAGAACCACTCCATGCCCCCTAATTCTCAAGCCTCAGAGATCCAACAGCATGTGCCTTCCATAACAGAAAGTTACCACAGTCTTATGAATCAAAAGGGAAGAGGTTAGATGCAAACCGGGTACTATTAGACAACTGGAATTGCACTCCGTTTTCACATACAGATTGCATGTGCTATTTAAAACTAAAAGGCAAAGGAAGGAAAAAAAACCAGGCATAATAATACTTCTTGTGGCCTAGCAGACCCACTGAGATGCGACACGGGCGCCTGGAGTGTGCGACTGCATTCAGCGGCGGGGAGCGGGGGGGGGGGGGGGGACCCCTGCCGCAAATGGCAGGCCAGATTCTGATCCACGTTTACTCCGAAGTCTATGTTGGCTTGGGCATGTTGTGAGAATGGCTGACAGGCAGATTCCAAAAGATCTCCTGTATGGAGAATTAGTGTAGGGAAATCACCCCAGAGGGAGACCACAGCTGCAATACAAGGATATCTGCAAGCGGGATCTGAAGGCCTTAGGAATGGACCTCAACAGATGGGAAACCCTGACATCTGAGCGTTCAGCCTGGAGGCAGGCAGTGCATCATGGCCTCTCCCAATTTGAAGAGACCCTTGTCCAGCAGGCCGAGGCAAAGAGGCAGTCCCGAAAGCAGCAAAATCAGGGAGCTGGACAGGGGACAGATTGTATTTGTCTTCAGTGTGGAAGGGATTGTCACTCTCAAATTGGCCTCCTCAGCCACACCAGACGCTGTTCCAAGTCCTCCGTACAGAGCACCCGTTACCATAGTCTTCGAGACTGAAGGATGCCTACTGCTGTACTACTAAGCCCCAGAGAGTTCTACGGGTAAGGGTTGCCTGGACTGTGACCCTCGTTGTCCCATCTACCGAGGGCGCTTCTCCTTCTTCGAGGAGAGGCATTCCTCCGTGTAAGGCTCCCCCTCCCTCCCTCTCTCCCCGAGGGCTTCCGCCCGGAGGGCGCCTTCTGGGCTTCACCGAGACGTGGGGCCAGGCCTCGCCCTCCCGCCCCCCGAGGTTTTGCACCGGAGGCTTTCTTTAAACCAAAAGCGGGGAAGCCCCGCTCCCTCCGCCGAGGAAGAGGCCAGGCGGCCCTATTGCTGTCCAATACCTGCTGTCCCCGCCTCTCTCCTCCAGGAGACTCTGCGCACGGTCCCCCTACGGACCCCGAAACATCAACCCAACCACGAAAAGTAACAAACCTTCACCGCCTCCACCAAAGAAGGAGACGAGATACCCGGCAAGAGCCCTCTCGAAAGAGGGGCCACAAAGTCAGGGGACGGAGGAAAAAACGGAGGAGACTCACAAGGGAGCCAGAGTCTCTACGGCGACCGCCTTGCAAGCTTCCTCCTCCTCCTCCCCCCGCCCCGGTCCGATCCGAACTTAAAACTCACCGCCATCGCGGCCTCTTTCCCGACCCGCCGACCTTCTTCTCCGGCAACGCCAACACCAGCGGAAGCCTGAATTCCGCGCGAAAGCGAACCACGTGATCAAAAGCCCGCGAAAGCTTATGAATAATGAACGACGTACTCATGAATATGCACACGGAGCGGTGTCTGTCTTCCGCTCTCACCGGCACTGTCATGAATATTAATCAGCACCAAATAAAAAAGTGGAGCATCCGCTCCCAGGGTCCAGATGAAAGGGTGGGAGCATTTTTTTCTGGTTAAGGGTAATGGTCAGGGCGATTTTTTTGGAAAACGAGATTGATGGGGAAGAGCACACGGCCCGGTATGACTTTTGTTTATTATTGTCATTAAATGTCGTACAGTCCTTTCGGAGTTATGGCGACCCTATCAAGACGTGACCACCAAAAAGCCCTATCCTCATGATCTGCCCTACTAAGGTCTTACAAAATAAAAGCCGAGATCGAGGCATGACGTTTGACGGAAAACATTGATGTTCACTATGAAGTCCTATAGGTTTTGGCTTTTCGAGTAAATGCAGAGGGCTGTAAGGATGACCCATATAATGGTCCGCAGTGTTGCAACCTATTGAGTCAAGGGCGCTTGATTTTAATCTGCCATGGGTTTTGGGGACTCTGACCTACAATGCCTATAATTTTTTCTGCACTATGGTGTACAGCCTGTGGAAGTGAGATGTTAACCCACGAAAGTTTCCAATTTTATGATTTTTTTAAAAATAATTCAATAAAGGTATCATCCTACTCTTGCATTTGATTTTAATGGGTTTCTTTAGCGCGTCAGAATCTGCATAGGCGCGGGAAGAGAGAATGGAAGACACTGTTTTAATGGCATCTCTGGAAGAGCTCCCTCTACTGGGTCAAAGAAGTCATGGCCCGTATAGTTCCGTTTTGTGTTTTTTATCTGAAGACTTGGACGAAGCTTCGGGTACGGTCATTAATGAGGTGCTCAGTTATTTCCTATCAATTTCTACCAGCAACATTGATCCTCAGGCCAAGGACCCCCATACCTCAGGGCTGAAATACTTGTTGCCCTCCAGTCATTCTTGAACTCCAGATCCCAACAGCCCCAGTAGCCTGGCCACGGCAGAAGAGACAGAAGAGTACTGTACAGTGGGGTCTCTACTTAAGAACGTCCCTACTTAAGAACAATTCCACTTAAGAACAGCTCCATTTGCTAAATTTTGCTTCTACTTGAGAACAAAAATCCAAGATAAGAACAGGAAAAAAAAACTTTCCTGCTCTTTTTTTAACCTTAGGTCATCTTAGGTTAAAAAAAGTTCTCCCCCTAGTGGTAGAGTACGTATTAACCAGATTTGCATTAGTTCCTATGGGAACTAATGCTTCAGTGTACGAACGCACCTCTACATCATAAAAAAACAGCCAGAACGGATTAATTGGTTTTCAGTCCATTGCTTCAAAATTAGCTTAGTCAGAAGTGCTTTTAACACTGTTCCCTGACCTAAGGGGGAAAAAAGGAAAAAAATCCCCCTCTAATGGTAGAAGGCGGAATAGCAGCTTCCCACTAGTTTCTATGGACGGAAAAGAGCAGATACAGATTAAATGGTTTTCAATGCATTCCCATGGGAAATGCAGATTCTACATAAGAACTTTTCCACTTGAGAACCACCTTCCAATACGGATTAAGTTCTTAAGTAGAGACCCCACTGTATTAGGATAGTTCCTAAAAGCAACTGGAGGCCGTTTCCTCTGCCTATGTAAAAGGCAACATGTTCATCTTGTGAAAAAAATAACTTTCTTGGGGGAGGGGGGAAGGTCAGCTTGTAATTTGATTGCTTCCTGTTGCATTGGCTTTTTGACAAAAAAATTTTTGTCTGAAACTGGTGATGCAAAGATCTGTTCCACTTATCCTTTCACTACAGGATGCAACCATCTAGCTGTTAGCTCCTAATGTTACCAATGTATATAATCCTCAGATCCAGTATGTGACAATAAAACTGCCTACACAACAAATACATATATCCGTATTACTAGAAGCAGGGCAAACAACACTCTTAAGCAGAGAAGCAAAACAAGAGCCTGTCTCCAGTATTTCCACTACCTGTCCATAAGTTTAAGATGCCAGCTTAAGACTTTTTTCATTCCACCTGGCATATAATGTCATGTTATCTTCTGTCTTTTGGTCTTACACTCTTTTGCTCTTTTTTATTTTGCAATTGAAATGAAGGATTTGGGTATATTGTAGCTGCCATGGTTAAAAGGTGGCAAAAATGGCTCATTACTAGATAATAATTCAATAAAGGTATCATCCTTTTGGGCTCTTTGGCCATGTTCTGAAGGTTGTTCTTCCTAACGTTTCGCCAGTCTCTGTGGCCAGCATCTTCAGAGGACAGCAAAGACTGGCGAAACGTTAGGAAGAACCACCTTCAGAACATGGCCAAAGAGCCTGAAAAACCCACAACCACCATTAGATCCCAGCCGTGAAAGCCTTCGCGAATGCAATATTACTGACACTTTGAAAATTCATGATACAGTATGTCTGTCCCATTTCACTTGGTCCCCAGCTCCACAAGCAGGTACAAACCTGTGGCTTAAATATTGTATTCCATGTGCCTAAAGAAGTGGATTGTGACCTATGAAAGCTCATCTTAAAATGAATCTGTTGGTCTTAAAGATACTGCAATGCTTTGTTATTTGTTCTGTTTTATTCACTTACTGTATATAAAATATATTCATTGTCTGTCCCATTTCACTTGGTCCCCAGCTCCACAAGCAGGTACAAACCTGTGGCTTAAATATTGTATTCCATGTGCCTAAAGAAGTGGATTGTGACCTATGAAAGCTCATCTTAAAACGAATCTGTTGGTCTTAAAGATACTGCAATGCTTTGTTATTTGTTCTGTTTTATTCACTTACTGTATAGAAAATATATTCAGTTATTTAAAATATGTATATGCCACTTTTCTCCTAAAAAATCCAAGGCGGTTTACAAAGTTAAAAGCTAAGATAATAAATTATTACAAAATAAAAAATCCAGTATACAGATAAATTAAAACTCATTAATAAGGGCAATATTAAAAGCTCAAGAAAAACAAATGAATAAAATACTTCCTTTAAACAAATCCCCTTGATCAGCCAGTCATCTAAAGGAAAGCCTGCCTGAAGAGAAAAATCTCTGCCTGTTTAGCCTGCCTGAAGAGAAAAATCTTCGCCTGTTCGTGGAAGGAAAGATGGGGCCCTCTTGTGGGAGGGAGTTCCAGAGTATGGGAGCAGCGACAGAAAAGGCCCTCTCTTGAGTGCTTATGAAAGTAGTGGGATTGAGCAAAGGCAGGGGGACATAGGCCTGTCAGATAGCCTGGATCTGACCTATCCTGGTAAGTAGCCCCAGTCAACAGTCTGGCTGCAGCATTTTCCATTCCTTGAAGTTTCCAAACTGTCTTCAGACGCTGCCCCACATAGACTGCATTGCAGTAATTGAAACAGAAGCTAATCAAAAAGCACTTGTCACTAATAGCAGAGTCAAGACTCTCAAGGAATGGGTGCAAACTGGCACACTATTTTTTTAAGTGTGCAAATCCTAAGACTTGGGCATCCAGGCTGAGTGAGGAATCTGGAAGGCCATTTAAAGTATGCACCTGCCTTTTCATGGCAATGTGACCCCCATCAAGTACAGACTGAAGCCTTATTCCCAGAAAGGTCTTCTAATTGAATAGGAGCATTTCTGTTTTCCATGGATTGAGCTTCAATGGGTTCATCTTCATCCAATCTGTTACCGATCCCAGACACAGGCAGCTTCCCCGGATTTGTGTTCTGCTGCTACCAGAAGGCTAAAGGCGCCGCTCTGTAGTAAAATATCCGGAAGCATTCCTTAACATATGACCAATCAGGGCGCCTCTGCTTGCTTTGGCTGTCAAAACGCGCCTCGAGGTTGCTCTTGAGAAGCAGCCACTGGTTTTTTGCGACTGGCCCTTTAAGCCTCCGACACCGCGGGCCCCGCCTCCTCACGGCCCCCATTGGCTACTTTCGCCCTTCTCTTTCGCTTTTGAGCCAAGGCTTCTTTCTTTAGGCGCCTCGTCATTGGTGGAAGGCCAACAGAATAAGGGATGGTCGCTCAATGGCCTCTCCGAGAGTGAGACGAAGACACTCATCCCCGCGTCGTCATTTTGCTCAGGGAGCTGATTGGACGCGGCCTCCGTTCAAGGAGGCAAGAAGTTCTCCGTCTGCCTTCGCCCGAAAACCCAGCCGTGTGTTCTTCGGCTGCCGTGCTAGACGGCGCGCTCACGACGCTCCCCCCGAACACAGAGAGCCTCCGGGATAGAAACGAGGTGGGCGGCTGGCGGGTGACCGGGCCGGAATCCCGGGAGGACTGAAGGCGCGCGCGCGCGCGAGGGAGGCCTCTGGCAGCGCGTGAAAGGTAAAAAAGAGACAGACAGAGAGAGAGGAGGGAAGGAAGGAAGCCCCGGAGAGCGAGCGCCCCTTGCGGCCGGGGAGAAAAGGTAAGGTCGGCGACTTCCACAGGACAGCCCTTGGCCGGTGACCGCGGGCGCTCGTATCTTTTTTTTTGGGGGGGGGGGCTGTTCTGTTTTCTTTCAGCCCCTGCGATGTACGTAGTCTGCCCAGGCAGGCGGAGGGGCCGGTCCCTTGATGGAAGACCGCGAGTTGTTTCGTTCCTTCTGCCCGGAGGTCTCGCGGGCTCTGCTCTCGCCCGACCCCGGTTCCGTGGCCGCGGTGGATCCGGCAGACGAAGGCCTGCCCGAGTTCCCGTCCCCCCCTCCGGCCCAGCTCCGAGCGGCGGCGGGCTCGATCTCCGGGTGGCGGCGGGTTTCCCTCGGGGGGGG